TGAACTTATTATCTGACCATCTCAGTCCCTGCTGAACAGAGTTGGCAGTGGGGGTAGGGGTGTGAATCGTCTCCAACTTTCAGCCACAGAGGGAAACTAATGATCTGTAGTTAGGCACAAGACAGATCCTGGGAGAGGGCAGAGTGCAGGGTTCTATGGGACAGAGCCATGAAACCCAGAAGGGATGCTTTCGGTCTCCGTCACCTCTTGCCATGTGACAGGCCCTTGCTCCATGCTTCTCACACACAGCTTTCTCTGGTACACCTGGCTACCTTGCAGGCAAGGGTCCTGACAAATGAGGACACAGGTTCGGAGGGCTTAAGCATGTGCCCAAGTCTGCAAGTGGGAACCTAGTCAGATCTGGTTCCTGAGCCTGAAATGCTGGGACAGAGTGGCTGTGTGAGGTAGAGCCATTCCTCACTAGGATCCCATCTCTCTTGACCAAGAGACAAAGTGCTAGAGGAAGTTGCCTGGGGCCTGAGAGTAGGGAGCAAGAACAGGAGGTCCCACTCACTTTGTTCCCATACTGCATGACATGACTGGTGTTGGTGTGCGACTTCACCAGTTGGTACTGCTTATGGAGGGTCTCCTTGGTCAGATCCTCCTGCAAGAGGGAAAACACGAAATCCTTCAAGAGCCCAAGAGCTAAACTGTAGCAGGTTGGCTGGCCCCTGCCAAGGGCTCACCACGTCTGAGTCTTCCATCCAGTTGACGCTGTACCAGTCGCCCAGGTATGTGCTCCTCTCCTCATCATAGTAACAGGCATAGGATGACTCACTGGGGTTGGCAGCAGTGGTCGCATAAACTACGAGCAATGAAAGGTATTGTTGAGCCACATTTTACTCCCTGGCTTGGACTATACTTGAAGCTGGGGGCGGGGGGTCCCTCTTTCTCCCCTGGGAATCTCAAGCCGCTCAGCACAGGGAGGGCGGTGGATGTAGCTGGTTAGCCCTGTCTACTCAGGACAGTGACTTCTCTCAAATGTGGAAGGAAGAGGATCCAGTAAGGGAATCTTGTTGCAGCTATAAGCAAAGACATGTATGCTTAGGACAGCACACATGTAGAGCAAAGGAAGCCAGAGCTGGCCATAGGCGTGTCCCCCATCTGCACACCAGGCTGCTGTCAGTGGCCCGGCCCACATAGAATGTTTGGTCCCATATAGGCACTATCCAAGGACAACCAACCTCAGCCTATTCAGCACCTACCATTGATGTCATGAGGCAGGTGGTTCATCATGGAGCCAGACTCACAAGCTTCAATGTAGAACACCATCTGCGAGGCAAATAGGACAAGTGAGTTCCCAATGGCCAGCGCCTGCTGCTGGGCTGTTCCTCCTTCTATCCCTGCCCCCATCTTTCACTTTGGATTTGGGGAGTCATTGCTGGTATTAAGAGTCTGTTGCCAAAGGCTAAGGAAGTCATTTGACAAGAAATCAAATTTCCTCACGGCTAATGGAATAAAGTGATCTATGGGTTGGCAGGATATAGGGAAGATGGAACTGTATAATGCTGAGGAAAACAGTTCTGGTGTCTAATAGAGGGAGCAGTTCAAGACAGCAGTGCCACAAGGCGCCATGCTTCTGCATTAACATCATGTACACCCCGCCCTACACAGATTCTATAGAGTACAGAAGAGAGCCAAAGTGGACAGAAAACAAGATGGTAGGCATTCTTCCTCTACTGTCCCAAACTGGGGGCAGTCCCCAGGAAAAGTATTCCTCTCATGGGCTCCCCATACCTGCAAGAGATAATTCTTATTAACCCCCGCCCCAAATCTGCTGGGTCCCAGCTGAGAGTGAGGCCCACATTCTGTGTCTAAGATTCTGATTGAATAGTTAAAGCAATCAAATCACAAAGGGTTACTCCTGGGACACCACAGGTCAACGCTAACCAGATGGAACTCTTTCCAGAAAGCCCAGCCACACGTTAGAGAGCCTGCAGCACCACTGTGGACTCTACTTCTGCCACTTTCTCTGGCTCTTCTCCCAAGGCCACCCAGGGGCTGACATTACCTTCTGGTACATTTTGTGTTCGTACATGTAGCGGATCGTCTTGTTCAGGTCCTTGACATGAAGCTGAAAGGTAAAACACAGACATTCAGACCAACATGCCAAGAAAAGCCACTGCCAGGGGAGCCCCCAACACTTCATACAGTCTTTTTCCCAGTTCTCAGATAACCATTACAGGCTGGCAAGATGGCCAGTGGGTTCAATCCCTGGAAACGACCACATGGTGGAAGAAGAAAACAGACTCCCACAAGCTGTCCTGTGGCCACCACACCTGCCTGCACTGTGGCATGTGCACATGTGCACATGTTGGCACACACACACAAATAATAAATAAATGAATAAATAAATAAATGTAAAAACAACTTTAAAGGGGTGGAGAGATAGCTCAGTGGTTAAGAGCACTAGCTTCTCTTTGCAGGGAATTAGGGTTCAGTTCCCAGCACCCATATGGCAGCTAACAATCATCCGTAACTCCAGCTCCAGGGGATTCGACACCCTCTTCTGGCCTACATGGGCAATGCACACATGTGGGGGGCACTTATAGGCAAAACACTCATCCATATAAACAATAAATATAAATAAGCAAAGCTTTTAAAATAACTTTTAATACTTTTTTGTCTTTTTGAGACAGGGTCTCCCTGTAGCCCCAGCTAGTCTGGAACTCATTATGTAGACCAGGCTGGCCTCAAACTCACAGAGATCCACCTGCCTCTGCCTCCTGAGTACTGGGATCAAAGGTGTACACTAAATAACTTTAAAAAAGAAGTTAACAGTGGTGAGCAGTAAAACCCCAGAATGTCATCTCATTGTTCCGTTCAGATTTTTTTTTCTTCATCTTTTTCACTTGTTTTTTTCTAATGAATTGACCATTACATTTCCAAGTTTCTGAAATGGCCAACAGACTACAGAAAGACATTTCTTTAGGCACCTGCTTGAAACCAGCTGTTTCAAACAAACAAACTGTTGGCCTTGATTTGGAGCCACCATTCATATATTTATAAAGAGAATAAGCTCCTTCATGCACAACTTTGTCATCGGCATTCAGAGATTTTCTTATACTGTGTCTAGTGCAATACATCCAGCCCTGAGACAGAGACTGACCCTGTGGCAGGAACAGAAACAGCTGGAAAAGACGGCCTTCTAGCTGCAACCCTAACCCCCACACACACCCTCTACCCGCAAAGCATCAGAAAACACACACTACAAGTTTAAGTCCAAATTTGTCTTTAGAATGCCAATAAGGGGCAAGTGAGTTGGCTTAGTGGGTAAAGGTGCTTGCCGCTAAGTCTGATGACCTGAGTTCAGTCCCCAGAACCTGCAAGGTGGAAGAAGAGAGCCAATTCCCAAAAGCTGTCCTCTGACCTCCACATGTATGACGTGGTATGTGTTTACATGTTTGCACACAGACATGAACACAAAATAAATAAATATAGGGGGCTTAAGCAACGGCTCAGCAGTTAAGAGTACTTGTTCCTCTTCCAGGGGACCTGAGTTCCATTTCAGGTACCCATTTTGGATGACTCAAAACTACCTGTAACTCTAATTCCAGAGGATCTGATGCCCTCTTCTGGCCTCTCTAGGCACCCATACACATGTGCACATACACATTCAGACACACACACAAATAAAAATAAAATGCATATTAAAGTATATAAACAAATAAATGTAAATAAGCTCTTTTGATATTAAGAAAAATGGTAGATGCATAATAAAATGCATCTTAAAATATATAAATAAATGTAAGTAAACTCCTTTGATATTAAGAAAAATGGTAGGGGCAGAGTTCAGTGATAGATCACTTGGCAAAACACACAAGGCCCTGCATTCAATCTTCACTACCAAAAAATAAAATAAAATAAAATAAAAGCAAACACCCTAAAGATCAAGTGGTAAGCAGAACTCACATCATCATTAGGAAACACCAGGATTCCAGTAGCTCCATGGTCAGTAAAGTAAACGAACACATGATCCTGGGGACCGCTGACAAGAGAGCAGAGACCAGTGAGCCAGAGAACCCACAGCTTCCCGTTCCTGTGTCCATATCTCTGAAAAGTTGCCTTCAGCATAAAGTTATGAAGTTTGACCCAGGCATGGTGGTATACACCAGCACTCAGGGAGGCAGAGCAAGTGGATCTCTTTTGAGTTTGAGTTCAAGGCCAACTGGAGTACATCAAGGGTTCCAGGTCAGCCAGGGCTACATACATAGTGAGACTCTGTCTCAAAAAAAAAAAAAAACAAAAAAAACAAAAAAAAAACTTAATAAGTTTGTGGATCGTGGTTACCCATCAAGGATGAAGGAAAAACACAAGACCCTGGAAGGAGCCTCCGCCCTCTGCTCCTCCAAGGCAATTCTGTTTTGTTGTTGTTTGAGACTTGGTCTCCCTGTAGCCTCTGTTGGCCTGGAACTTGCTATGTAGACCAGGCTGGCTCCATCTCACAGTGATCTGCCTGTATCAGCCTCCTGAGCACTGGAATTAAAAGCATGTGCCAGCACCACACCCAGCCCAAGGGCTAGTCTAAACCACAAATTCTGTCAGAACCTCGGTACTCTGATCAATGGTTGGAAATGGAGAGGAACTTTTGCTGAGTTCCCCATCACACAGCCAGGTGTGACTTAGACAGTGAGGTCCTTGGCAATTGGACCCCATGCCAAGCAGCCACAGCCTTCAAGCAACCCACCCCCAAATGAGTAAAGGAGTCAAGACAGACCAAGCGGTCCTTCAACCACCCAAGGGTGCCTCCCATCTCCCCAGGCCTCCATCTTAGAGGGCACTGCTCTAGGGCTGCGGGGATGCTCACCCTGCAGAGGGTGCTCTAACTCTCAGGAATATATATACATATAACCAAAGCCTCTAACAGCTCATAAAGATGTTACATATGGAAACACTAAGCAGTAAGATCTCTCTGTCTCTGTGTTTTCCGCCACACAGTGGGACAAGTGCTAGGATTAATTTCCCTATTATAACCACTAGCCTTCCCCATGGGTTAACCAATGATCAGGACACTGGTTGGCAGCAGGCTGCAGCCCCAGAACCTGGCCAGCCCTTTAAGAGTCACATCTGTCTCTGTGTTTTCTGTCAGTCATGAGGCAGATCACTGAGCTTAAGTGGCAGAGAATTTAAGTGACAGGGGACAGGAGCAAAGAACAGTGCCCATTTAAATTCCCTGTATAGGGTTCCAGCTCACAGAGTGTAGAATCCATGAAACAGACGTTACCTCTTCAGGACTTTTCCAGAGCCCTTGCCCTTCACAGCCTCAGCGTCGCCTCTCAACACGGCGAGAAAGTTCTCTGGGGTCACATCCTACAAGGAATTGGAAGTAAAAGTCAGATGCGGCCATTAGCTCCACCCACAGTTCAGAGTCCATGACAGGTGCAGCCTGCAGGCTACCCAGCTTCAGTCTCAAGAGCAACTGCTCTGAACCAAGTCAGATCCAAGGCGAGGATGGCATTCTTAGGGCTTTGGTGTCTGTGCCCTTCTGTGCAAATGCCATCTTGTTTAAAGATAGCAACTCAGCAAGCTTTCCATTCCTTCTTGACCTCTATGAAGAGAAGAGAGAGGGGGAGGGAGGGAAGGAGAGAGGGGGGGGAAGAGAGAGAGAGAGAGAGAGAGAGAGAAGAGAGAGAGAATACTCAAAGATTCTGCCAGCACAGGAAAAGAATACTCCCTTAGCCTGAGTAGCAGACATCCTTAGAGCAGTTTGTAAAACTGATATTTACATACATACACATACAAACACACACACACACACACACAAAGGGAAAAAACCACAAATCCTACCACCTAGATTCTAAATATATCCCAATAAAACTTTATAGAATGAAACAATCTCATTAAAATGGGGTCAACTATATTACATATATATACATTTACATCTGAGGGGGCTAGAGAGAGATGGCTCAGTGGTTAAGAGCACTGGCTGCTCTTAAAGAGGACCCGGGTTTGGTTCCCAGTACCCACAGTAACAACTGTCCCTAACTCCAATTCCAGGGGATCAAACACCCTCTTCTGGCCTCTGCAGGCACTGCACACACATGGTATACACTCATACATGTAAGATAAAATAAATACTAAAGAAAAAAAATTTTAATTTAAATTTGAATCTAGGAGAAAAAAATTAAACAAAACTGAAAAAAATGTTAAACTTCAGGTGAAAGTTTCTTGGCTACAAAGAGTATCAGCTCCTGTGACATCCTTTTGAAATAATGAAAAAGAGATCACAAAACCATGCAACTGAAGCCATTATGTTGTTAAAATGCCAAATTATATAGTATCGATAAACTGGAAAGAGTTTAAACATTTAAAGAGGAATATATTATATATAACAAAACATTTTTAAAAACCTGTCCCTTGATATTGTGTAAAGAGAACAAGCTTTGGATTTAGGCAGATTCATATGAAGAACTTACTGTGAAGCCTTTGACAAGACATTTGATACTCTGGAATGTAGATTAAAAAAAAAAAAAAAAAAAAAAAAAAAAAAAGAAAAAAGAAAAAAACCTGTCCCAGAAAAATCTTGATACACTTTGCACTAGATGTGGGCTAAGAAAATGGATTTTTTTTTCTTGGTCTTTTTGAGACAGGGTCTCCCTGTAGGCCCAGCTGTCCTGGAACTCATTATATAGACCAGGCTGGCCTTGAACTCACAGAGATCCGCCTGCCTCTGCCTCCCGAGTGCTGGGATTAAAGTGTGCGTTTTTAAAAAAGAGCTACACATGATCTGATTATCTACAATTGGATTAACAGGGATATTTCAGGAAAATCAGGTTGTTACTAAAGGACATGTAATATCAGGTTCAAAATAGCGCAAAGACGAGTCTAAATTTTATTAGGCAGTAATTTATTTTGAAAAAGTTCCTTCTTTTCCCCTTTCCCTTCCTTTCAAAACTCATATAATTCAACTGGGCATGGTGGCATGCGCCTATGGTTCCAGCTACTTTGGAAGATGAGGCAGGAGGATTGCATGAGTCCAAGAGTTCAAGACCAGATTGAGAAAAAGAGACTCCATCTTAAAAACAAAACAATGAACTGGGGCTGGAATGTGGTAGAACATTCAGCGAGGCAGTGTGAGGCCCTGGCTCCATCCCCAGCACTCTCTCCCCATTCATTTCACAAGCACAAATCCTAACCCAAACCTAAAACACAGACTAGAGTAGTGCAGCAGGGCTCTGATTCTGGGAACAAAGAAAGAGAGGGAAAATTGTCAATGAAGCAAAAACCAAAACTGTTGGCTCCAAAGGAAATGCCCTCACCTCTCCGGTGTAGTCCTTTAGGACCCCCTTGTACACATCTGTGCCGTTGGGCCGGTTGATCACAACACCTGGAGTAGGGTTGCTGAAAATGAAAGACCACAGTTCAAACATACAAGGTGTCTCCCTTCAAAGCATGCCGTCACGTTATATGAAAAACTAGCACACAACTGTGCTGTTGAAGACACATCTTATCATTTGCTTGGTCACCAATGTGTGTGATTTTCAAGGTCGGGTGTCCTGCTGCCTGCTGGGAACCAGAGCATCTTAAGATCATACCAGGATTGCTTGAGCAAAACTACTCTCTCAGCAGCAGCAGGACACAAAGCAAAACCTGAACACAGAAGTTCTGGCCCATAATTGGGAGGGATTCAGCCAGAGCCCAGGTGTGGCCTCAGTACAGGGTAGTGTTCCTCTAGGAACCTAGGCAGGGTACCCGGGAGCTGGGGACCCAGGAATCTCTTAGCTTTGCCTTTTCTCAGATTCTCAAAGAATTCTAGAAAAGTTGGCAAGAAACAAGTTTTGTAAAATTAAACCCAAGCTGTAAAGGTGAGCAAGTCCAGAAGGGAGTTCAGTAGGAGGCACTGCACAGACACACATCTTCTATGGGCAGGTGTCTTGACCTGGGTGGGGGGTATGGACGGGCTCCACAGATCCAGGGAGCAGCTCCCCACCATGGAAAGGGCTTTCTGCTTCAGCCTCTCATTTCCTGTCTCCTGCACCCGCAGAGCCCCCAGCAACAAGTTCAAATCTCAACATTCAGCATCCCTGTGACCTTTAATCTGTGGCCACCCCCCTTTCCACAATGAGCTACTGTCCTAAGGAGCCCCGTGAACCCAGATGTGTTTTCAAAGTCAGTTTCCAGACCAAGTTCTAAGTGTTCCCCACTTACTCTTCAGAGTTGGCAATGTCATCATACATCATGACGATGATCTGTTCATCAGGAATCCCATTTCGGTGAATTATCTGGTAGGCATGGCACGCATCTGCCTGGGAGAAATGATTCTGTCAGCTTTCAGATTTTGCAAGGGAAGAAGCCCATTTGAGGGTACATTCTGTGTCACAGAAGGCTTGCTGTGACTTGCTCCCTAATGGTCAAGGTTTTTAAATGATTATTTTTTAAAAACAGTCACATATATTTTTTCATTTCAATTTTATAAGATCTCTATTGGTATTATCCATATTCTTATCTATTAGGAAGGCAGAACTTATATGGGCTACTCAGGTAGGCATAGGCGTGCATACACACACAGGCACAGGTATACAAACACGCAAAGGCATACATTTGTATATACATGCAATATAAGTTGGCATACACGGCACAGAGGCACATACACACACAGGTACAGGTGAGGTGTGCATACACACAGGCATGGGTGTACACACACACACACACATTGCCACATATACAGGTTAGCAAAGGTCTTAGAAAGTCTAAGCAACTTATTTTCATATTTCAAAACATGCCAAAATGTCAAAGCACAGAAATAGGTCTCACAAACAGATGCCTCAAAAGGATGAAGTAACAAGTTCCCAGCTTTCCAGCGGTGTGACTCCATATCACAAAGGATTCATCTGTTCCATATAACTAGCCATCAGTCATTGTTGAGAAAACTGAGTGAAGACTCAGATACAACTCAGAAGCCAGGCACAGTGACACACACCTATCATCCCAGGAGGTTCAAGAGTTCAAGGCCAGGACTGGAAAGATAGCTCAGCAGCTGAGAGCACTGGCTGCTCTTGCAGAGGACCCAGGTTTAATTCCCAGCACCCACATGGCGGCTCACCACTCCAGTTTCAGGAGATCCAGCACGCTTTTCAGGTCTCCATGGGTATTTACATGCACATGGTGTACTTGCATACACAAAAGCAGAACACTCATACACATAAAATAAAAATAAATCAAAAAAAATTTTAGGGGCTAGAGAGTTGGCTCAGCAGTTAAGAGCACTGGCTGTTCTTCCAGAGAGCCCAAGTTCAGTTCCCAGCACCCACATGGTGGTTAACAACCATCCATAACTCCAGTTCCAGGGGATCTAACCTCCTCTTCTGACCTCCACAGGTTTATAAATATTTGATACACTTACATATATGCAGGCACATGCATTTATACACATAAAATATAATTTTAAAAAATAGTTCAAGACCAGTTTGGGTAACATAGCAAGTTTGAGGCCAGCCTGGGCTCATGAGACTCTATCTTTAAAAAGAAAGAAAGAAAAGAAAAGAAAAAAAAGTGCAACTCATAAATTGGAATGAGAAATATGCTGTTTAAAAAAATAATAAGGGCTGAAGCTATAGCTCAACTGGTAGAATCCTTGCCTAGAAAGCAAGAAGCCCTGGCTTCTAGTCCCAGCACCACACAAACCAAGCATGGTGGCACAAATCCCAGCATTGGGGAGGTAAAGGCAGAAGGATCAGAAGTTCAGGATCATCCATAGCTACATAGTGAGTCAAGGGCAGCCTAGGCAACATGAGATTCTGTCTAAAAAATATTGATTATTGCTATTATAATTATTTGAAACAGAGACAGGCATGGTAGCACACACCTTTAATCCCAGCACTCTGGAGGGAGAGGCAGACGGAGCTCTGTGAGTTCAAGGCCAGCCTGGTCTACATAATGAGTTCCAGGCCAGGTAGGGCTACAGGGAAACCCTGTCTCAAAAAGTCAATAATAATAATAATCATAATTTGAAACAAAAGAAGACAATCTTAGGGGAACAGAAACCATGCCTAATGCAATTCTTTGCCCAGAGGGCGTGACTCCCTCCTTCAGAGTTCTGGATGGCACTCTTCACTCCATGAAGGGGGTCAGCTGAGGACAGGAGGGAAAAATGCTGCCTAACTTTTTAATAGTGTCTTTCCAGGAACAGGGACCTATATAAACAGAGGGGAATGTGGCTAATATTGGTCTCCCTCAGGCAGACACGGCCACTGCTCACAGGCCACGCTTGAAGGGACTAAGAAAAAAAAAGGCTCATCATTCACTGTACCCAGCTTCTGCCTAAAGACACCCAGGCAGATGGACCTGTGCAATGTCAAAGACGTGTTCAGCACCCAGCCTCTGCACATTGTATGGGAAGCCTGGGGCCCAGCACTCAGGAGCTGCCAGACAAACAGTTAAGTAAATGGGAAAGCAAACCCATCTGCCTTCAATCTGCCAGGCCCTACTGACTTGGTCCTGCGCTGACTTCAGACACCTTAGCACATTGGTCCTCGGTCCTTCCAGCAGGCCCACGTGAGAAAGGTCACCACTCCCATCTTACAGTTAGAGGAGGGACAGGAAAGGACCCACCCACACTAGGATCACCAAGAAAGAAGCCAAGTATTCTGACTCCAGAACTTGACAGTACCTCATACAGAGGCAACAGGGAAATTAAATTTATGAGGCCCAAGGAGAAAGGGTCGGGGTTAGATCTTTTATTTTTCTTTTTTGATTTATTTTAAATGTTTTTGTTTGGTTGGTTGTTTTTTTGTTGTTGTTGTTTTGGTTTTTGGTTTGTTTTTTTTTTTGGTCTTTTTGAAAGGCCTGGAACTTACTGTGTAGACCAGGCTGGCCTTGAACTCACAGAGATCTGTCTGCCTCTGCCGCCCGAGTGCTGGGACTAAAGATGTGGGCCACCACACCGGTCATATGTATGAGTGTTCCGTCTGCATAACACATGTCATGTAATGCCTGCAGAGGCCAGAAGAGGGTGTTGGATCCCCTGGAACTGGAGTTACTGAGGGTTGTTAGCCAAGTGGGTGCTGGGAACCAAATCCAGGTCCTCTGTAAGAACAGCCACTGCTCTTAACCACTGAGCCACAGAGATAATTTTTTAAGTCATCATCAATTATCACACATTGAGTCACTGTCACTTATCAACAGGGACAGGATTGGAGAAGTGCATCATGCAGAGATTCTACTGTATATGTACAAACCAAAGCAGCTATCATGTCTAAGCAATCAATTATATGGGACCACAGTCACATGTGGTCAATCAACACATCATCATGTGGTACATGGCCATAGGTGTGTGAACTGTTAAAATGCTAAAATTCTCATTTCTGAAGAACAATGAAGAGCTTCCAACACCAACTGTATGAGGCACAATAGCACCCCCCAAGTTCCTAATGCCTATACCTCATGAATATGCCACATATAGTGAAGGCAAACAGAGTTGAGGCTGTCAGTCAGCTGGCTCCAAACTGAGGTTTTTCTTGGATTATTTCTGTAAACCCAATTTAATCACAGAGTGTTGGGGACCCCTGCTGTGTAAGGTAGCAGTCTCTCCATGTCCGGATAGCCCACGGAGCTCAGCGTTCATATGCAGAGACTCCTTTTATCAGCAGGTCGCCTTCCCACTCTCTTCCTGACTCATCTTTGAAGTAGCCCTCACAGAAACATGGCCTCTGGCTCTGGAACTGCCAGGTTCTCCTGTGTGCTAATCAGGCAGTGTCTGACAGCCTGGCAGAAGCCCACCACCACATGTAAATAGGGCATCCTAAAAGCACCTATCCACTAAGGTTTTGCCACTGCCCCCATAGTATAAATATCCTGGTTTCCCCTAATTAATTGGAGCTGAATCACTAAGACCTGGAGCCGAGATGAGTCACTGAATAAAGGAGCTGTACTGAGCTGAGTTCTGTGTCTTACTGCCTACGATCCAGTCTCTCCGGAGAGGGCTGTCTCTTCGTAAACCACGACTCACGGAGATTCATAGATTGGAACTATGACCAGCTTTTTGGTCAGGGCAACTTCTCCACTGGAATCCAGAGGGAGTGCACGGTAGATTGGGACGGAACCCGCCTGGGAGCACAGCGATCAGTAGAGTCGCCAGCACCCAGTAGTCGCGGAGACCCACAGCAACGCGGTGCGGGACACGCGCGCACCCCAGCAACTGGTGCGCGACCCGCTGCACCCCAGCAACACGGTGCACAACCCGCTGCACCCCACGGGAGACCGGCGCCACGCCCAGCAGCTGGCGCCCCAAGATCCCTGCACACCCATAACAGAGGTCTAAATTTTGTTATTCGGGTTTGGTATTTATTTATTTACTTATCTTATATGTATGAGTATTTTGCCTGCATGTATGTAAGTACACCTGTGTCATGCAATGCCCTCAGAGGCTAGAAAGAGGGTGTTGGATCCCCTGGAACGGGAGTTTCAGATAGTTATTAGCCACCATATGGGTCCTGGAAACTGAACCTGGGTCCTCTGAAAGAACAGCCAGTGCTTTTAACCACTGAGCCATCTCTCCAGCTCTGGTTTGTTCAGTTTAGTTTTGTTTTTTAACCCAGGCTAGCCTCTAACTCACTAAGTAGCTGAAAATGACCTTGAACCCCTAATCCTCCTGCTAGGATTACAGGAATATGCCTCCACACCTAGTTTATGTGGTGCTGGGGATAGAACCCAGGACCTCATGAATGCACTCTACCAACTGAGATGCATATCCAGCCCTAGTCACAAAAACATTCCTATGTGGAAAAAGAGAGGGGAAGAGTCTATATCCAAGGGGCATAGTGCAAGGAGTCCATGACCCTTGCTGGATTCTAGAACAGAAGAAGGCATTACTGCAAAAACACACGGGTCTCTCCAAGCTGGGAAGGGCAAGCTCTTCTTAGTCCCCAAAGAACAGGGTATCCCGTCAACACTGGCCAGCCCAGTGAGAGCCATTTAGATTTCCCGCTGCTGTGAGATGGCAAATGTGTGCTGCTGTTTCATACCACTACCTTGGTGGCCATTTGTCACAGCAGCAAAAGACAGTACAGCAAATGCAATGGCAAGGGAAACACAGTGTAAGAACTCTCCACTATGGGAGACGTCTTGAAATACCAGGTTCAAACACACCCACTACTACTCCCTGTGCTCTGCAAACACTAACCATCTCTGTATAATGAAAATAATAAAGAAATGTTGAATGAAATTAAAGACATGCTGTAGTTTAGATGAATGTTCCTAGAAGGCCCGTTAACCACTAGGTCCCAGGGAGACCAACATCAGTGTATGG